CGCTTATCATGTTGTCGTACTGCAGGCCTTGCTAGCGTCGTAAGAGCCAACTGAGACTGGGCAGCAGCCTCTCTATCATTTAGATTTTGATGTGGCAAACTGATATTTTTGCACAAAGGTGCATATTTCAGAACTTTTGCCCTTCAATCTTTTTGACACCGAGATTTTCATTGAGGCGCGACAAGTCTTTCGTTCTTTTTAGAGGGCCTTCAAACCGACATAATGAGCGGAGAGCGCAGATATTTGCCACATCAAGAGTCATGCTTCTTGTTCTGCGCCGTCCGTTGGTACGCCTGAAACTGATATATATTTTTCTGGGGTCAGGTGACTTAGGCCAAAGTGGCCCGATATGACATACAACTTTGCCAGGAAAAGTCCTGAGTGCTGTTCGTTTCCTTGAGGCAATTCCTAATCACATCTGACCATCTTTCAGGTTCTCAGCAAACGACCGAATTGATATATCACAGCATAAGGCCTCTCCCATTCCCTCACATTGTGTGATAAAACCCTGTACTTTTCAGACCCACATGAACTGTATTGTTCCTCGATGTTCCGCAAGATGCTCAGTGCTGCAGGGAATGCATGTCAGGCGCTTGATCCTGGCAAGCAAATACTGTGGTCGCGTAAGGGCCGCGCAAGATTCGGCGTAAGCCTGACGTTCAGACCATATCGAGGCGCGCAAGCAAAACCGTAAGCAGCGGCGTATGGTTGCATTTAGCAGTGGCCTAAGCAACCCTTGTGGGTAAGCTAAAGCTGGAGTCGAGCAAGCGCTGCGGAAGCTTTCGCGGAAGCCATGTGTTGTGACATATGGAAGTTTTCAGAAACGCTCACTTGGAGATAGTTTTGCAAGCGCTTTTGACACTCAGCTGCTTGGCGCTAGCCATTCATCGACCAGTTAGCTAAGCATTTTCAACGCATTTCTCAGGGATGGAACTGCCCATCATGAATGTGGCAATGATAACTCGGTTATTTGTCTCATGTGAATTTCCAGGGGTTCAATGTGGCAAAGCATACTGGGGCAAGGTCTTTGAGGTGTTCGTTCACCTCTTCCAACAGATGAATTGTTTAGGTCTAAGTGATCAAAGGTTGGTGGACCGTGAAGCTTGAATGCAGGCAACGAGAAGAGGAGTCAGATGGCGAGAGCATTGGGCAGCACGATTTAGCGGCGCTGCAGCAAGCGTTCTGAAGGGGTCAAACAAGTCGGTCCCACAAGCCTCACAGGCATCAACCGCAGTGGCGTGCTGGTCCACGCCTTTCACAGGCACCGGTGTGAAGACTGGAGAGGTCTTTTCGGGTGTCCTGGCAGTTCCTACTCTGAAGTGTTTTATGCTACGTTGGCTTCCATGCTACGTCGGGCAACTAGGGGCAATGCTTTTTGGTCGGCAGCGCCTCCATGTGATGTTTTCACATCCAAAGAAGTACACTTCGTTTGGACCATCCGAGGTCCGAACACTTTTGGATGTGGCATTCGATGATCATGACACGCCTCCTTTTTTCGCGGACCGGGCCGGCTGGCTTGATGCTTACGAGTGATGGACACATCCGATGTGCATGACTCAAGATGCGCATGACTCGAGTGAGGGCAACATGTCTTGCAGGCAGGAAGGCCCAGGTTGGAAGCTGCGCGCGGTGAAAGGAAATCGATCCGAACATCCAAAGGCAGAAGAGAAGAACCAGTGCGCCAGTGCACTGCGCACCGCATGGCATTCAACAGCATTTCAGCGTCCCGGATGGCCACAGGTGAGCCTTGGTCGACTCTGTGCAACCGGAAGCAGCCGCCGGGCATGCCGGCGGTCTCGGCGAAAGCTGCCAAGACCCGGCCCGTGTGCCACAGATCGAATCGCCCGCGCCGGAGGTTTGAGCGATTTCGCTGCGGAATTTGTGGCCACAGAGCCAGCGATATGGAACGGGCCTTGTGCAGCTATTGGCCGTGGCTTCTTTACGTGCACCATGTGCGAACATATAACTTAGACTTTAGACAGTAAGCAACCTTCGTATAGTAGGTAGTCAAGTCTTGACCGAGTAATTAAGACAAGGACGTCTTCCAGAGCATGCATGGGCCAAATGTATGGGCATCACTTGTGGCAAGACTTCACTGAGTGCGGTTCTTCGTTCAAGCTTGCCGGCAGGCATCAAGACAAGTCGACCGGTTGCAAGGCTAGATCAGGTGGTACGAGTTTGGAACGTTTTGGAGCTCTGCTTTTGAACTTTAACTTCGTCCTTGACCGTCACATGACCCTTGTGCCACTGGCTCGTAACCTTGGCCACTTCGCTCTGTGGAATGCTGACAGCAGTTTGGACCAGTGATTGTCCCGTCATCATTGGTCTACCATTTGAGGCGCAAGATGCAAGATGATGTTCGGCTATATGGCCGAGTTGTAGATTGATTTTCGATGCGTTTCGAGTGCGTGGGTGGACTAAAACTGACCCTGTCCTATAGCAAGATTGGCGAGATCCCTCTGAAGCTGAGGCTGACTCCGAACAACAGCCTGCGGCTCGAGTTTGTTTTGAGCAACGCCAAGTGTACACATCGTGGTTTTACAATCCATGCCCTATATTTCCAATTCGCCGAGACCTGAGGATGTGTATCAAAAAGGAAGATGAGGGAAGGATGGAGCGGCCACGGGCTATATGGCTGAGCAAGGTCTTGGTAGACGGCACCCCGATGGCCAACAAGCCTCACTCCTTAGTGAAAGACATGCCTTCAACTGGCCCGGCTGCTTGCTTAGTCCATATGTTTTTGAATTTTTCATATTGTTCAATATTGTTCATTTGATCCACCCATTCGCTAGCCCGTGTTCTTTGGATCACGAAGGGTCCCAGAGGGCAAGGCCTGTGGGATCGCCAGGATCGTGGTCAGGTCTGAAGGCTCCATATAGTTCCGAGTGCTACTAGCAGAGCAGCTTCTTATTACTAGTAGCGATGGCCTCCAACCTAATAGCGATGGCCTCCACCTAGTAGCTTCAAATGTTCAAGCAATTGACGAAAAAGGTCCCCTGTCCCAGATGCTTTTGCTTGATCTCACTGGGACTGCTAGGAATTGATTCTTGCTTGACAGTCCAAGGACTGCTATGAATTGATTCTTGCTTGACAGTCAAAGTTCCTCCTTCACCTCAACAGCACCTCGAAATGGCTCTTTGCTTTGTTGCTTTCTTTGTCGCCTGCCTGCTGGTATTGCCTTTGCTGCTGTCATAGGGCGCTTGCCAATTCTGCTTTTCTTTGCTGAAAGTGCATATCTCCGGCAAGCTGCTATGCCCTTGGCGACCTTGTGCTTCTCTAGCAGTGTCGCGTTTGGCGCAGAGTATACATACCGGGGGTCCCAAGTGATGGCTGCTTGCAAGGTCATTTGATCCCCCATTCTGTGCTGTTGGTACGTCTTTGGGCTCTTCTGCTTCTGGTGCTGGCCCAGGCTGTTTGGGAAGGCTGGCATCTTGAACGGGCTCACTTGTTGGCTGTGCTTGTTGCGGTAACGCGGATGGTGATACCGAGCGCAGTGGATATCCAGCGGAGATCTGCAGGTGCATTGGCTTGTTGTGACTGAACCCGTTGGATCTCAGGAAAAAACATGGGTCACACGGTTCTAAAGCCCTTGCGCAGGTAGCTGCGTGGAACTCTTTCACAACCTTCAGCTCATTTTTTGCCACTATGAAGTTGACCGGCGCCCCATTGTGTCGAGGAATCTTTTCAAACTTAGAAAGATCATGGCTGGCAACTAAGGCGTGCCATCCACACCAACCATCTGCTGGCACCAACATTTTTTTGTGCCAGGCTTTCTGCACAGGTTCAGCCATGGTGCCCGTCTTTCTCAAAACCTGGGTCATGAGGGCAGTGCAAATCCTTCTCGTAGCATGTTCTACATGCCCCAAAGCAAGCTCATCACTCCAACATATTTTGTACAACAGCCTCTTTGTCACTTCTCGCGGTTGTGCAGTCCATTGGACGCAAACCCTTTGAGCTTCTCCGTTTTCAACAGCTTCCAACGCATAAGATTAGCCAGTTGCCACTTTGGAGAAGTCAACATAGATGAATATTGGGCAGGGGTATGTTGGAGTGAGCAGGTCCAGAATCTCATTCGCACGCCTGTCCCAAAATTCACAAAATTCAGGGTTTCAAACCATGACTGCGCCACAGGGAACAATACCTAGGGCTTCGCACACGCTAGGAGGCTATCACATCAGCAGTAACAAACCTCTTGCACTGCCTAGATCGAGGCTGACGCGCGAGAGAAGCTTCCAGTCAGCTTTGGCTTTGCGGAATCCGCTGCTGGCCGGAGTGAGGAACCTTTGACAATTCATGTGCTTCAGGGAGTTTGAAAGAACGACTCGAAGAGAAGTCGCTCCTGCTAGTGGCTTACCGAGATAGAGTTGTACAGTTCCTTCATGCCACACCATATTCATGCAATACAGCATTGACCTTTTGTAGCTTGGATTGAGGGAAGCGCTCAGATTGCCTTTGATAAGGTTTTAAAATCATCAGTATGCAAGAAGGCAAAAATGTTCCCGATAGATAGGCTTCCAGCTCCAAGACAAGCGCACCTCGTGACAGCAAAGAGTTTGTTGAAGCATGGACCGGCAGTAGCTTTGCTTTCCATCACTTTACAGACCAAGCAAATATGCCGCGCCATACTGTGCCTCATTTCAAGAGCTGCTATCACGGTGCTTCGAGCGGGAAGACGTAAAAAAAGCGGTTCTGGAGGGTCGGCCTGGGCTTTGAGGGAGTGCTGAGGAGGCGGTCATTGGGATGATTATCGTTTTGTGATCTTGTGCTATTTCATCTCAGATGTTTGTTTTCCCTTTGCATGATTCTGCTTTCACATTCACATTCGCTTCCACTCACTGGTTTTTCGGGGGTTGTCTGGACACACCCTGGTTCAGGCTGATTTTCTTGAACAGGTAAGACATTTGAGCGTGAATTTAGAGAACGGAAGATGAATTTGACCTAGGGACCTAGATCTCTTCAACGCAAAAACGCAATCCGTGCTCCCAAACAGCTCAACGGTCACAAACCGCTCGGCAGATGTTAGGTCTCGAGGTTGTTTCAGCTGTGAATCTAGAGGGTGAGTGTGCGGTGTGCGAAAGAAATTATGTTGAAAGAAGAGAAACATGCAAGGAATTCTTCCCCAAATTCCGGCCAAGATATCGAGAAACGAGAACTTGGAATGTGCCAAATACTGCAATAGAGGCACCTTGTCGTTGCTGGCTGAACTATTCCTATGATTCACCAGCGTCCCGCTCACTGACTAAAGTACCCGCGATGCAGCCAGTGTTGCGTTCACTCAGTGCAAGTTGCCGGCCATTGCCAACAACATTTTCTGAATAATTCTTTGGTCGGGGATGCCCAGGCACCATTCCTGTGGAAGGGTTTCTCCAAGATGGTTTCTCCCGCCGCCATGCCCTGTAAATACGCGCGCATGTGCATATCATTTGTTGCACCTTCGCCTTTGTCACGAATAGACATCACGTAGTCAAGCCTTTTGGTTTGTGGTGCTTTTCGAATCCATAATGCATTGAAGATGCATCTTCCTTTGACTTCCGTTTCAAACCTTCACCTGAGCTCGAATCAATTGCTGGCGGATCCGATTCCTTTGCCGTTTCCTTTCCTCTCGTTCGTTCAATCGAGCCAGCCATCTGAAGCAGGAATACCTCATGGCCTTTTGTACTTAACTTTGGCTCAAGACTTGAGCACTGGCTCAAAGTGCGTGCAAAAGTGGTGCGAGTGCTTTCGCTTTGCTTGTGGGCTGTTGCGCGTGCTTTTGCTGTGTTTGAAAGGTGCTCGAGAGCCGATTGTTGACCAATCACTGGTTGAAGTTGTGCCAGAGGATTTTGCCAAGTTGCCGGAGAACGTCCTCCACCACGACGTTGGGTTGACAAGCACGGACCAACGCCAGGGTGTGGATCGTGTGCGACCAGGAAGGGTAAGCGCAGTGTTCGTTGCTATGAGCGTTACCGTGCGTGGTTGAGGAGTTCTGGAGCAGCAAAGTCAAAGCCGATTGAGGATGCAGCCATCCCGGATGAGTCCAAGGTGGTTGAGAAGAAGTTAGAGCCCAATACGCAATACTGCCAGGACTTGGACACGAAGGTCAGCCTTGAGCAGGACAAGCCTTTGTCGAGGATCCCTGGGCTGGTGGGCATGCCGCCGACACGAGGATGCCCTGCATGTCATTTCAAGACGGCTCATCCCGGATGTCGTTACTCAAAGGCTTGCAAGCGAGCTCAGCAAGAGTTTGAGGCTGCCAGTTCATCCGTGCGAGCTGAACCAGCGTTGTCTCGAGGCATGGATATGCCGCCTGAGATCGAGAAAGGAACATGGAGTTGATTTTGAACCTGAGCTGCATCGCCCGATGTGGGTGATGTACCTATGCAGGATGTAGCCCCTGATGGTGAAGCTGCGATGGATGTTGATGAGGCTCTTGACGCCAAGATGGGAGAAGAACCTACGCCGATGGTGGATACACTGTGTGTGTGTGTGTCCCATCTTTGTTGATCAGTTGACGTCATCGAGTGTATTTGACTGTGAACGTCTTGTGGTTGACTCCAATTCTCACAATGGGTTCGAGGAGGTGGACTTGTGTTTGTGGCAGTCAGCGACACAACGCTTGTGGAACTTGATCCCGAGGGGACATTCAAAGGCATGATCAAGAATCAAGGAGGTCAAAGGATTCACCGCCGAAGGCAAGAGTTGTCCTGACCACGTCTGAGATGACAGCGTTTTGTGAGAAACATGGTGTCAGGCCTATCCCTTTTCGTTGGTTATAACGGCTGAGAAGCTTGAGGAGGCCGCCGCGGGCGTGTGTGCCCGTATGGTTGTAAAGGACATTGCCCGAGGGGCAGCCACCGCCAGAGCACAGGGCATCAGTAGCCCGACGCCCAGTGCTGAGTCGCTGTTGCTTGGCATTGCGCGTGGTGCATGGGGCATTGGTCCGATGGCCCTGTATGCCATTGGTGTCTCACAGGCATTCATGAATGCCCTGCTAGAAAATCAGCGTGTTGTTGTGAAAATGCCATTGTCAGTCTCCACAACGTCAGGGGAACCTGTGTACCTTGAGGCGCGCAAAGGTCTCAATGGCCTGCGAGTTGGTTCTCTTGCTTGGGTTGTGTTCTTTTCCAAACTTGTGAAGCAAGCAGGTCTAGAGTAGTTTGATTGAACCGTGTTTGTATTCTGGTTTGGTAGGTGGCGGGCGTTCCCGTTGTGATGATTTGCTATGTTGACGACGTTTTGTTGGCTACGCCAAAAGAAAGTGCAGACAAAACCGTTTTTGCTTCGCTTGAGAAGCGTGTGAAGATTCGTGAAACTGGCCGAATCGCCCAGAGTGGGGGAACGCTCAAATTCCTCGGAAGAACCATCGCCAGGAAGAAGGGCAATCCAGCTGTGTTTTTGCACGTTGATTGCACGTATGGATGAGTGTTATCGCGAGTATGGCGTTGAGAAGGGTAGTGCAAATTTTCCTGATATTCGTGGAGCAATTGAGGAGGTGCCGAGTAGTGGGTCGTTTGTCATGGACGTTTGGTCTGTTGTCTACAGGTCAGGCAGCCCCCAGGCCAGGTGATGAGAAGGCTCTCCGGATGTGTCTCAGGTACCTATGTGTCGACGCAGAGGTTTCCGAGTGAAGGTCAAGGACAAGCCTGAAGCTTTACAGGTATACACCGACGCTGCGTATGCGACGCGTGCGCTGAACAGGCAATCTGTGACGGGAGTCTGTTTGATGTATCGTAGTGTCTTGCTCAAAGCTTTTTCGCATCATCAGTCCAGCGTGACTTTAACGTCGTGCGAGGCTGAGATGAGTGCAGGTTTTCAGGCATTCAAGAGGCGCTATTAGGTCTGATGAGAGCTCTCCTTCACACCCTCCACAATGTGTCTCCGATGATGCGCCGTCTTCGTTCGCTCAAGCTCGAACGGTTGACCGACAGCTTGTCTGGTAAGATGATTTTGGAAGCCACTGACGTGCAGGGACGTAGTAGGCCTGTCGAGATCAGGATCTGTTGGCTCCGTGGGCTCATGCGCAAAGGAACACTCGAATGTGCACACATTGCCGGAACCCTGAATCCCGCTGATATGCTGACCAAGTGCCTGTCAACAGCAGTTTTCATGCGACGTAGGCGCACACTTGGTTTTGGTGAGATTCCGTTCGCATCAAGAGTTGATGCACTTGTCGATGTTTCCTTTCAAAGTCTTTTGCGTGTCCTTTCGCACAGACAGTGTGTCTTTTGTGGTGATTACATTGCACACATTGAAAGGGGGCAGAGTGCTGAAGCTGCTTCGAGCGTTCATGTTGAGAGTCAACTCATTCATGCAGTGAGAGAGTCTTCGCAATCGTTTTCTTGGATTCGAGAGTCTGCGTTGTCGTTTGCGCGTTTTGGCATGGACTTCTTGCTTGTTTCATCTTCGCCGCAGCCTTGTCGGGTCACGAGGTGGCTCAGACGAGTGGTCAGAGTGATCCGCGCGCTTTTCACTTCCCGAGCGACATGTCGGAAGCGTCTGGTGTGACCCGGATGGATTATGCGACTGGTGCTCGACAGCGTGATCCCAGCGACCCAGTTGTTGAAGGACAAGTCCTGGAGGAGCAGCGATTGTCAGAGGTGCTGCAACTGAGGTCCCAGCAACAGAGAATCCGAAAGAGCCAGCAGTGGCTGAGAGCCCAAGTTCTATGCCTGAGAGCGTAGGAGCTGATGTTGGCCAGAATCCAACTACCGGCGGTGTGCCGGAGACAGGCGACAAAGAGAAAGCAGTGGATGATAGCGAGCGCGTCCCTGTTCATCTGACCCCAAGAGTTGGAGGCATCGACGTCGAAGTTGCAGACTCACCTGATCGAGAAGTCACAGCCGAGAAGAATGAGGCTGAGGCATCTGGCTTGCCTGCGAAGAAGCTCAGGCCAAGCGAAGACGCCAGAGAGGTCAGGAGTGGAAGATCAAGCAGGCTGAAGAATTCAAGCAGGCTATCGCGGCCAAGGAGGCCATCAAGTCCCAGCAATCTGAAAAGGGCAAAAGGTCAAGAAGACCGTCAAGAAGAAGAAGGTGGAGAAGAAGGCCCCAGAGAAGGATACGACGTCATCAAAGTCCAAGGCAAAGTTCAAGAGAGTCTTGGAGAAGCGCAAGAGGATCCTGAGAGGGTCGATTGCCAAGCTCTTTGAAGCTCAAGACAGGTGCTGCTGGATCTTCGTCCGGAGTCTTTGGCAAGTTCTTCGCGAAGACTGCGATGCGGCTTTCTCAGATGTATCGCGCGTCAGTCGAGGCCAGAGATGCAGGAAGTCGTCTTTCAGAGGTCACTGCAAGGATCAAGGCCATGCCGGAGATTCCATCCAAGCCGGTGAGTCCGGCAGAGCCCAAGTCGGCGCCCAAGACATCGCCGCCACCAAAGACTCCACCAGTTCAGCCTCCAAACGCGAAGGCTATGCTGCCTCCGTCCGGTCCGTCGAGACGGGTGCTCCAGGCTACCTTAATCCTCTGATCAGCTGAAGAGAAGCAGCAGCCTTGAAATCTGGCGATGAGAAAGATGAGCTCGCCTCGATGCGCTCGAAGGGGGAGCGGGTGGTATCGCTCAGCGAGAACAAGATCGCTCTCCATCAAGGCAGGATGTGGAACCAGCACGCCGTGCAGGCGACTATGTGGCCAAGTATGGCATGGCATGGATGATGATCTTTCAGCACAGATCAAGCCAGACGACAGTGTGTCGCAGGATGATGAAGAGAATGAAGAAGACGTGAAGGTCGACTTGTTGAGGAAGCGCCCAGCAAATCCCTTCAAGAAGAAGAAGCGGACTGAGGCTCCGAAGAAGCCTGAAGTGCCAAAGAAGCATCAGGTACCGGGCCGAAGGCGCCGCCAAAAAGTCCATCGTTTTCGATGATTTCTGTGGCGGCCCCAAAGGCCAAGGACGGTTCAGCAGTGGCGGCCCCAAAGGCCAGTGAGAGTTCAGCAGGAGTGGATCCAAAGGCCAGCGCAGGCCCAGCTATCCCGATCCAAGTGATCGCACCTCTTTCAACAGTGGCCAATCCGCCAGCCAGCCCACAGCCGAGTGCACCGTCTTCGACTCAGTGCTGCGTTGCGTGCCACGGATCGGGGAGTGTCAGTGCAGACCTCAATATGCTGCTGTTCAACTTCCTTGCGAACAACATGCCGAGGATTTCGGATCTTAGAAATCCTCAGGTGAGACCGTTGGAGGACCACGAGAGTTTTTCCCTTTGTCGTGAGACGACGTCAGGACGTCCTTTGTTCATTGTTTTGGAAGTTGCTTTTGGCCGAGGGTCCGTAATTTGTAGAGCTTGTCAGGAGTGTTACCATGTTGGATACATTGGAATCCATGCTTGTTTGGAAGAGTCTCAAGTTCGTTTTGAGGTGCTCCGAACAATCCGTGAAGCACTAGCTGAGAGCTCGTCTGGATCCAAGTTGAATCGAAAGCGTTGCATCTTAACTCACATCTCGTTACCTTACAAAGGAGGTTCACCGTTGTTGAACTTTTCTGGAAGGAACGCAAGTCATGAGAAAGAATTTTTCCATCTGTTGAAAGCGACTGAAAAGTATCTTGATGAGATCAATAGTCTTGAAACAACTACCAACACAATCTCCTTCGAGTTGCCGAAATTTAACCAGTACTGGAAGAGCCGAGAGCTCGAGAGTTTCTTGCAGAAGTATGAGATGACACATCAGAGTTATTCGGCAATCGCCTTGCCTTCTTCGCCGATCGGCCGACTCTTGGCCTTCACTGCCGTCTTGGTTTTTGGCTCGACTTTCACAGTCGCTTTGGGATTGCTTCGGCTTTCCCAGCGCTTTGCCTTTGCCTCGAATCCAGATGGCCAGATGCTCTTGCGGTCCCGCTCTCTTCGCCTGTTGTTCTTTTAGTCGCCGCTTGGACGCCGGCAAGGCGGTACCTTGGACGGTGGCAGGCCAGACAACCTTGCCAAGTTCGCATGAGGGCGAGGAAAAGAGCAGAAGGGGGAGAAGTCTCTATGACTCTATTCCAAGTGTCGCCCGCGGCCCGGTGGGCGGCGCCAGAGGCAGAAGACCAGCGCAAGAATACCTCGCTGATGGGGACGGTCCTTTTGCAACAGCTTCAGTTTATTTGCGGATGACAAAAAGCGTCTTCCATACAATTTGACAAAATCCCTAAACCGGTCACTTCTCGATTTTCAACTCATTCTCAAGTTTTCATCTTTCAACTTGGACTCTTTCGACAGTGCTTCCATCGGACTGTTTGAGCTGGCAGCACGACCTCCACACCCTCACACGGCTCTGTGGCCTCAGTGCATTCACCGCATCGCCTCGACAGCCTCCATCACATTGGCAAGGCTGCGCGAGGAGACCTCCACGGCCTCCACGCGCTCCACACCCAACCTTCTCTACTTCCATCGCAGGGCTGCAAATTCAGGCCTCTGCAGCACACGCCCGGCCTCCAACATCATGGAGGAATCTCTCTTGAATCGTCCCTTGTAGGCCTTTCTGTCACAGTTTTTGCTGGCCTCTTTGGTTTTAAGAGTTGAGGTTTGGGAGCTTTTGGGACTCCACCAGCTTCAACATTTTTCAACTTGTAGTGCCTCTTTCAAGACCAGCAGTGGCAGTTTTGCCATTCCTCTTGCCAACATTGGCGCACTATCTTGGACACTCTCTACATAATAGTGTCATCTTTGGTGCTTGTGGCAAGGACATTACCAGAAGGGAGCACACTCACAAGTTTGTTGGAAAAACACCTTTTCCGTCACGCCTTTTCTGACCTTGTCTTGCAGTGATGTCATTGGCAAATTCTGTCGGAAATTCTTGTCTCTCTTGGGCGATTTTTTTCTCCTCTGCATTGTCGGAGAACTGCGAGAACTGCTTGATGAGAATCTCTTCCCGATCTTCTGTAGAAGAGCCACCGTCGGTGGAAATGCTCGCTCCGGGGGTGTTTTCATTGTACGTATACGGCCATGCCACGCACTTGTGGCCCAAGGAAAAAGGTGCACTGTATGTTTCAGGCTGTCTGTTTGAACGAAAAAGGGCTCATGATGGTTGCCCCTTTTGCGTTTTAATGCATGGCTCGCCACTGGGGCTATCAACCGCGGGGGCACTACAACCGCTGTTCTTCCTGGTGCTCACTGTTTTTTTCGCGAGCGTGCGTGAGCCAAGCGTTGTTCTTAAAGAGACAGGAGCAAAAGATGATCTTCATCGTGATCATCGTCATCATCACCATCATGATCATCATCTGCGTATTTTCACATCTGCATATCTCTCTCATCTTCACGTCTTCATATTTCTCTTTTTGTATCTCTTTGTATTTGTCTCTCTCTCTCTCTCTTTCTCTTTCTGTTTCTCTTTCTCTTTCTGTTTATCTTTCTTTTTCTCTTTCTCTTTCCCTTTCGATTTCTTTTTCTCTTTCTTTTCCTATCTTTCTTTCTTTTTCTCTTTCTCTTTGTCTTTCTCTTTCTCTTTCCTTTTCTCTTTCTGTTTCCTTTTCTCTTTCCTTTTCTCTTTCTCTTTCCTTTTCTCTTTCTCTCTTTCTCTCTCTCTCTCTGTATTTTATTTTTTTTCTCTCTCTCTCTCTCTCTCCTCTTCTCTGTGTTTTCCCTTCTCTTTTGGTCAGTGTTTTTTTCCTCTCTTTGGGCCGGGGCCAGTGGTCACAAAAATATCGAAACGCAGTCCTTTGCGGAGACCGTGCATGTCACGTGTCAAAACTGCGGGAATATTGGGATTTGAAAGGTGCAACCCTCTGCGGAAATCGTGCGTGTCACATGTGCAAAAACTGTGTGGAATATTGCAATTTGAAAGCGTCCACGGTGCAATGCGGAGATCATGTCAAGTGCCATCCCAAGGAAACGTCTACAACACCATGCAATTCCCCCACCTGACGAAGTGAACCATGGAAACCATGCGGCCGTCCCATTCCAAAAACATCTGATGAGGGTTCTCCGAACACACCCGTGGCGTGTTGCACGTCGTCGAAAGAGGCTGCGCTGCCATTTGATGGGCGAGACTGATTTGAGACTCCAGAAAGAGGGAGTTCGGGTTGCTGTTCGAGTCGTTCGAGGTCGCGTTGGCATGCGTTGGCTCTTTGTTTTTTGAAAGCTGGCTCAAACGCTGGGAAGGAGTGCTTTCCCAAGTCACAAAGCCTGCATTTTAGGTCAGAAAGATTTGATTCAGGACTGCAAAAACATACATTTTTTTTCAAAAAACTCAAAGACTCTAGAAGAACATGTGTAAGCCTTTGGATGCTGTCAGTGCCTAGGAGAGAACATCGGCGCTTTCGGGTGTGGGATGGGTCAAGCTCCGTTCTTGGAATGAAGAAAAAGGGTGCAGTGTTCACCTCCAACCCCCAGAAATCGGATTGGCGACATGTCCTCATTCCGTTGGTTTGGTTGGATTTTTGTGGGCCCTTCTTCCTTGGAATTGTATCCTTCAGGTAGAACGTGGAACAACATGCGGCCACTTTCAGATATCTCTGTTTGAGATGGTACCATCATCCATTTGAGGAGCATCATATTCTCACTGCCCCGAAACCGCAACAGAAACTAGCACTCCTCTCAATTGCACATGATTGCACATGTGCAAATCTCTCGCTTCGCCCGCGCGTCAAGACCATTTTTCTCGGTTTGAGGGCCCCCGCTCTGACTGAATTTCTCTACTCTGACAGACTAAGAGTCATGAGAAGATGGCTTTCTAGACCTGCGGCCTCGTCTTGGTGCCCAGGTGCACCCAAAGATTCAGCCAGCAGCCAAAGATGTGGTTTGCCAGCTCGATGCAAAGCACTTTTAGCTGCTTTCACCGTGTTGGCCCTGAGCTCCTTGGCCATTTTCGAGATCCGCGTGAATGTGCTCTTGATCCTCTACATGCCACTGGTGAGTGACATGGCATCAGAGGAGACCTCTGAGACCGACCTGGTCTGTTTGGTTTAGGTTGAAGGCTATGAGAAGTATATAGGTTTTGTGGGTGAAATGGCGGAGATGTCATTGTTTTTCAGAAGTGCTAGGTAGACGAACTTGCATTTGGCCAGGAACGTGTTCTGCCAGGCAGAAGCCGTACGTACCCTAGCTGCTAGATTCTACCTGTACCCTCCAAGAGGTCTCTGCCTTTGCAGGTCCCAAGAACCCCTCTTCTCAAGTTCGAAAGATCTTGTTCTTCCCCAAGCCAATAGCTTTCCAGTTCCACACCGAGATGACCCCCAAGCGAGGCCTCCACTTGTGCGGCGCCAAGAAGATATGCCCAACACCCTTCCGAGACGCAGCATTAGGTGGTCAATTCTTTGAGTTCGAATGGCTTCTTCCTTGGCTGGACTCCTACTTAGACTTGGAGATTTGGTGGAACCCTGAGAATTTCCAGGCGCATGGGAGAGCGGTGGTCTTTGTGCGAGAGCGGATGGCGGACTGGGGCCGCCTCCGGCGGCCCCCTCCCGACAGATGTCTTTGGACGCCACTGGTGGCGTCTTCTTTGGTTGATTCGCTTTTCATGGTTCAACAGCAGGAGTCTGCACCCTCAAAACCCTTTGATTGAAGGCTCGGATTCTACCAGGAACAAAAAACGAAGCATGTGACTCTGAAGAGGATCCGGATGCCTCTCTTTGTGTGTTCCTAGGAAGCATCATCCTTTTAGAGGGGACAGCAGCCCAAGACAGTTAAGCTTTGTTCGCTTTGTTTGGCTTTTGTCTCCCATGTTGTGGCCGGCTTTTTTTGTTGGGTGGCCCATGAACACCCAGCAAAGCCGGCAGATGGCCATAGGTGGCATAGGGGCTCACACCCAGCGTTCCTTTTACCCCGTTGTTCGTCCGAGGCCTACGACCTGCAGGAGATAGCCGCCGAAGACTTCACGTGGGAACATTACATGAAGGTGTCCCAGAATCGTCGCCTTGTGAGCCTTAGCTGAGAAGGGTCACAGCGCTGTCCAAGGCTTTGTGGAGATTGGCGAACGGGCTTTGACATCCAGTCAAGCAGACTTTGGGAGGTTAGGCGAATGGTATTGGGGTCAGCGTCTAGTTGTGTCTAGCTCTAAAGGTTTAGTTTCTGGAACCACTGGTGACCTACTCTAGTGACGACTGATCAAGTGATTTGCCCGAAGATGACTAGGACTTGGTATACGCTACGGTTCTGGTACAGCTGTACCATGAACACTGAACAACCCTACTTTGGCTGGGAAGAACAATAAAGACAACACATACGAAGACCTCCGAAATCAAACAAGGTAAACAAACCGCTGTTAGTTGTGCCTTAGTGACTACTGCATGTGCTTGTATTATATATATATAACTTTATCATAGTTTTTCCTTATCATCATCCTTGATCATGTGTTATGTAATAGTCTCAGGGCCACAAGAAGTGAACTCGGGTAGTTTCGATGCCTTCCGTCACCTTGTTGTGTTTTAATGGTCCACACCCTAGCTCATCCCCTTAACTGCAGGGGTGGAGTAGTGGCCCCACCTGTACACCAGTCCGTGTTGCACCCAGGGATTGCGTCATAGCCAATAGAGTATAGCTGCCCTCTGCCTTCCGTCACCTTCCCTTAGTGGGGAATGATTGGCCAACGCACCCTGGTCTGTTGGCACCTTGTTTGAGACGATAACTGTGAAGTAAGGGTCGGTAAAATATGATAAAATATGTCAATGTCTCTTCCTACCGTGCTTGAACTCTGCCCAACTTGCGGCTTAGCTTGAGCCTACTAACACAGTCAAATGAATGAGATCGAGCAGAACATTCGTCAAAAAACCTCCGTGTCTCGTCCAGGACTGTGGTGCGCGGATTGATGAGCAACACCAGCGCCGCCCCGGCGTGGCTTCGGTTGGTTGGAATAGGGTGATTGGACCAAGCTCAAGTACCCAAGTTTGCTGAACGGCTTGTGGGACGACTTGGCAAGTTCCGTGACCGGTCAACTTGGCATGCCCGGCCTGCCGCATGTGCGCGGCCGCATGTGCGGCCGGTCGCCACCTCGACTCCTTCGTGGCGACCGAGGAGTTTTGCTCCCGAGAGTGGATCGAAGCACATGCAGATTTTCAGCTCAACGAGATCATTGCGCCTCGGGATCCCTCGCGATCCGGTGCGGGGACGTTTGCGGTGCCTTTAGGAGTGGTCGATTTTAGCCAAAAGAGACGGCTTGCTTGGTTCATTGGCTTAGTTTGTTGTAAAAGACTGGGGAGGGTGTGAACCTGTGAGCAAAAGTTCTGCCTTCTATACTTGTATGTTGTTTGTTTCTTTTGGCTTGCGCCACGACCAGCGGTCATTTCTGGCGCTTGGCCATTTCAGTGTGGCAGATCCGCTTCAGCACTGGCCATGGGGACCCTCGGGTGCTCGCCTGGTGTAGGTCCAGGCGTCCCAGCTGGACAGTCCGACTGGTGATCCGACTAGAAGGCATCGGTCCGGCTGTGTCCAATGAGATCTTTTCAATACTGCCCCTACTAGTCTGCCTACTATATCTACTGAGTCCCAGTGACCCCCTTTGTTGGAGTCCAAACACGTTGTTGGAGCTATGCTCCAAGGAGTCCAAAACAGAGGTCCTATGGGTTCACGGACCCCACCGCCAGACCAAGCCCACGTGGTGACCGGCCTTGGCCCCGGGCCTGCAGGCTCCGAACAGGTCCGTTGTTCCGACCACGGCTTTGCTGCGGTGATGTTCCGGTTTCCCCCCCAAACAAAACCGAAAAAAGAAGGCAGCCTGTTTTTTGCCGAACATGTTCGTGGGCCACTCGTCCGCACCTGATTGGGCGGCTTGATGAAAAAGCCGCCGGTCTTGATTGGGTTGGACTTTCGAGGCCAAAGAGGAGTACAAGTACTGGTATGACTTCCGAGCTATCAACTTCTCGACATATGTCAACTCCATTCAGAAAGGACCAATGTCCAAATCAGTTTTAGAGCAATGAGAGTCTCTCGGAAGTTGCTGTTTCTGTGCAAATTCAGGGTGCAAGTCAGAGGCGAGTCATTTTGTTTGGCGCGTGTAAAGTTGCAACACAGTGATTCTCTTCCTTTTCCGATACAGGACTCGGAAGAAGATTCACCACCTTGACACGTGCACCTTCCATGACATGTAGTCAACACTTGCCATGGCTGAGTCTTGAACCTGGGCCCCAACCTCAACCCCCCCAAAACGTGGCAGCTTGGGAGCATGGGCCCCAACCTCAAGGCGGGCAGAAGCGTCCGGCGGCCTCCCAAGCCGGTCCTGGTCCTGGTCCGGAGTCCGGTTGGATGGATCAAGGTCCGAAAGTGTGGGGATGCTTTCATGTCCAAACATGCCGCCGCTCTGAATGGAATCCACATCTCCCACCTTAGTGAAGGAGCCTCAAAACATGGAGAGGACCTCATCGACTCCGTGCCGTAACGCAACTGAGTCGTCGCCCCCCCCCGCCCCGCTTGAGTCGTCTACCCGGCTCCCCTCGTTTGTCGCGTCCGTCACGTCCGATGCGAGCTGCGATTCCGAGCTGCGAGCCGGAGGAGAGTATCGCTATGCTGCGGGCCTGGATGAATTGATCACCCGTTACCCGGAGATTCCGAGCGCCATGGGCTTGGAAAAGCTGGGTGGGGCACCCTCCTGCCGGACACTGGCGATGTTCATCAATGGCCACCTGGAGATGCGGGGTCAAGGGGGAAAAAGAAGAGGATCATTTTGGAACGGGATGACAAATCCCCGCGACTTACTCGACTCATTCGATTCCGAACTTTGAACACCTACCTGGCAGAGGTTTTGCTGCATTTCCTTGGATCGGGGTGCTCCCAAAAAGCCGAGTCGGTTGAGTGATGAGTGGGTGTTTGGCGGCTCGTTTTGAGTGAAAAAGGATGAAAAAGACACACTCCATAGTCTAGCAGGGGTGGTTCTTCTGTTTTTTTTTGAGAATGGAATTAGGGAGTTTAGGAATATGGGAATGTTGCATTCTATGCAGACGATGGTTTTTTGTTGCTCACATTCTGAAACAACCTCCGCTGAAAAACTGGGTTCCCGGCAAAGATCGTCTGTGAGGTAAGGGCGAAGGCCTTCAGTGGCACAATGCCAATCACTTCAACATCGTGATGGAATACCACGGTACCCTGACTTGGTTGCACCGGAGGGAGGATTATACTCCGGTGTGGTTTGGTGGAGGAGCTCCTTCTCTAGCTCCGTCGGCAAGCGACTGAGGGTTCCCGTTTCGGGACGGGCTGAGGGTTCACCGGGGTGGAACGCCTGAAAACACCGGTGAACAGGGTCCGCTGGGTCTCTTTGTCGCACCTTTTTTCGACGAATTCCATCAACACGCGGCGCCCATTTTGGACACCATCGAAATGGGCGAAGTTGATGTTCGCATCGGGATGCTTGTCAACTTTGCGCCGAGTGAAGCTCAAGCACCACAACGGATGGGCAGTGAAGCAAGGAGCACGTATATTTATATTATATAAGTAAGTCTGCCGATTGATTGGTGGAACTGGACTGGAAGTGTCCGAGGTCATAGATTCTCCCAAGAACATCCAAGAATGAGTCCTGAAAGCCTTTGTAAAGTACAGATTTGGTGTCTTCTTTACTCCTCTCAGCGTCCTTGGTCGATTCTGGCCGTTTGTGCTGTCAGCTCCGCCGGTTTGCAGGCCACAAGGAGTGCCAGTGACAAATCGTGGGGAGCGAGGCAAACCACCGCAGGCAACAGCCATTCGTTGTTAGATGCTCACAACAACGTTTGGAAGGAATGCCAGTCCGAGACCACTGGTGGTCTTACAAGCTCTCTTCGGCTTGTGAAACTCCAATTCTGTGGTGTGGACATGGAAACCTTTGCATCGAATGTACCATTTAGGCCTAGGCCGGGGCTGGTGAATGAGTGAAGGCACAGCCATCTTGGACCAACAGAGCACTCCGACCCCTAGCGATTTGTGCGGTTAAGACGGTTGGGTGAAGACGGGATGTCGCTTCGATCTAGGCACGAAAGTGTGGCAGCTGCTGGATCCCAAGTACACGCTGTGGCTCGGCCCGCAGCCGGGAGTGGGAAGTGGGAAGTGTCCGAGGTGGAAGCTGTTTTGGGTTCGAGCGGAGTTCAAAGCTGGCGCAGTTGTGCGGAGCCGTAGCTGCCTCCACGGGAGGTTCATGGTGGTTTGCTACGCAGTATGATTTGAGTCCACTAGGAACAAAGGGCATCGCTACGAACGGAGCAAGGATGCTACGATCAGGGCTCCTGGCATCGCTACGAACGGAGCATTCTTACTACGTTCGTAACAAGAAACAACTGACTTCGTGTGTTCCACCGTTTCGTGGTTACCGGGTCCATGTCGACTCACCTGGAAACTGCTGGGTAGGACGGCACTGGGACAGGGGGCACCAGGACAGGGGCAGCCAGCTGTGACCCGTGGCTGGGGCCACCTTCAGAGAGCGCCACGATGAGAAGGCACCTTGCGAACAAGAGATAAGCCCAAGGAAAATCCCCAGCTATGACCTGGACATTGTGTGTTCTTTAAGCTATGGCTGAAGACAACAGACATTGGCTTCGCTGTTCCCAAGAGCCTCAAGAAGCCCTCTTTCAAGGCTTCTTTCCACGCGATAAACGCTCAGCATCATTGAACGAATTGAAACAAAATTGTGTTTCAGAAAAACATATATATATGACACATACACATACATATATTACATATAGGCATATAGGAGTTTCATGATGACCTAACAAATTCCTTCATTCGTTCCTTACCCGTTGATCTTGTGTTCATCTTCGCAAATACGAATAAGACGTGCCCTCCACCACCGGTTGACTTCCACCTCTCCAAGGTTCGTGGCTCCGGAGTATTCCTGGGATCCCTATGCCACCGGCTTCGTGGCCAAGAGTCCCAGGTCGACCTTCGAGAAATTGCCCACCTTCCAAGTGACCTTGAATCCAGGACTGCCCACCTTCGACTGACGTGGATCGGACCACGGAGGACGGAGGACGGAGTAGTAACGGATGGAAAGAAGCGACCTTGGCCAAAGAAGGGAGGGTCCGGGTGAGGGGAGTGGGGGTCCGAGTGAAGGGAGCGTCCTGGTCACTGGTCATTGTGTTTTTGACCTTTGCTCTTGTTGGTCAGATTCACCTGGTGCATATTGCTGGTGGACCATGGTGGACCATCTTGTGAGATTGATTGTGGTGCAACGAGTTGAAGCGTTTTCCAGCACGTGATGTGGAATCAGCGCTAATGAGGCGCATGAGGCGGAAAGGATGTTGGTCGGCCGCCTCGGGTATGGGTCAGTGGACTCATCCTTTGTAGATCTCTTTGTGGTTCTGTTTGTACTTGGGAAGCTGAATTCGTCTATCGCGCCTGGCCTTGCGCAGTCACCAACACCGAGACCCGAACCAGACCAGTCGAGCGCCAAACCCGCCCCGACCACCACTCCTCCCGCGGATCGACGTCCGAGCGCGACCGGTCGACTTCGCCGCCGGCGCAAGAGTCGGACTCGTCGGTGGCCAGGCGATGTCCTGTTGAACCCCGTTTGGTCGTGGCACCGGGTCCGGAACGACGCGGATCGCGCGACTGGTTTGGTGGCCATGGGCTCCTGCCGCTTCTCGGTGTCTCGGCAGGATGAGGGAGGGTGGGAGGAGGCGTGGACATGGAGGGAGGGGCTCTGAAAGGCAATGAAAGGAATCTTTTTTTTTTTTTTTCGGAAGAGAAGACGTGTCATTTCATTCGACATGAGTCTAAGCAGATTTCGAGTTGGACTTGAGCTTGAAACATGGAGTCGTGCGGTGATGGCGACATAGAGGGCTGGCTCCTCGCCAGTTGGGTCGGCCCGGATGCTTTTGGGAACAAGCCAGCATGGGTGGCTGAACGACCAGCATGCTGAGACCAGTTTTTGCCTTTGTGATTGCCATCGCCCAGGGCGTCCAGGTTCATCCCTTGGAACTGAAGCAAAGGCTGAAGCAATCGCAATGCGAGAAATGGGTGAAGCCGCAAAGCTGTGTGAAGGCATCGACCACCTATTCTCCACTCCGACAACAGGGGCAGACTTGCGGTGCGCAAGCACTGATCCAATGGTGATCGAAAACCATCTCCCACCCACTGGATATCACAGAGAGCATACAAATCCCGAAAGCAAGCTATAGAATGGATAAAGACATTTTTAATGATCAAGACATATCAAGACCAAACAGCTTGGGAGTAAGCATGCTGACTCCTCTCTTCTTCTCCTGCCACTTCTCCGGTGTCAACTTCTGCCGCTCGACACCCACAGGAGTCGGTGAAGGCGCTCGGTGTCCCCGCGCTGGAGTTCCACCGGTCCTTTGGCCAGGCGCGGGACAGAGACCACGCGGGATCGAGGGACCAATCCGCCCGGACCAAGCCGGAGGAGCGGAACGGAACGAGGTGTGAGCTGGGACACCTTGGTGTCTGATGCCGTGACAGTCTGCAGACGGGCAGGTGATGTGGGTCAATCCCAAGCTTCCATCGTGGGTGCGCTGGGTGCCATTCTTCCGCGTGGTGCAAGATGGCCTGAGCTTAGCCTTTGATTGGACACTTGCCAAACATTAGCGCGCTGGGACATGAAGCTCACCAGTGAGATGGTTCTCAGGGGCATAACGCTGAGGTATAGTTTATACGTATATCGTTCGTATGTGTGTGTTCATGCATGCTTGACACTTGTGTCAAATGACTTGTTTGACTTAGACTTCAGGCCGTCCCAAATGACTTCAAACGTCCCTTTTTGAATCAACACTTGGGTCAAATTCATCAAGTCCCACCCTTGATCCACCAACTTCAGACTCGCGCTTAGTATAGGGAATGAGGGAATGAGATCCCAATAGAGATTCCTTTGGATCCAGCCACCCTCATTCCCCACGAGTCGCACCAGTCAGACTTTTCCTAATACCATCTAAAACCCGTTTCCATTCTCCTTGTCTTCCTCGTCCATCTCGGTCGTCCGTTCCGAGGCATCCGAGCTTTGGCACAGCGGGCGCCCCGGGCTTTACCGAGTTTCGGTCGTTCGCTTCACCGTCGGTTCGGGTTCGGTTCGCGTGGTTCGGTTCGGGGGGCGAGCTCCGAGTTCGGAGAAGAACTTCATTGACATGTTTTTTGAGGGTTTGCACCCAAGCGAACAGCTGAATTTAGCTTAGAAGATCAGCTCCTTTCAGTGTTCTACTGTCTCCATGCAGGGTCTCTGTCGATTGAACACCCTAGCCACCTGAGCCTTGCAACTGAAAGCCCTTGGTCGCGGTCTCCTGTTTTCGCACGCCTCAGGGGATCCCCAGGGGATGCTCAGGGGACTTGCATTGCAGGTTATGAAAAGGATTGCTTCAGCTCCAAACGAAAGGCTTGCGATGAGCACTATGCTGCTTATGGCTGGCGTATCGAGTCTTCTTCCTACAAAAGGTGACCTCTGCATCTTGCTTCGCGCGGCGACGTATCTCACGATCCCTGCACAAGCCAAGCTTCCCATTTGAAGGTTGGCAGGAGACGTGTTTTTGCTCGGCTGGGTTGACAGGCTGATATTGAGGATTTCAGGCCTCAAAGGTCATGTTTTCGGCCTGAGTTGGGCGAAAGTCTGATGGGTCCATTAATCCAAGAAGTTTCGCGATTTGCGAGTCCTGACACGAAATCGACCACCAATCTACGATTCAACCTGGCCGGTGTCTCTCGTTAGTGTACGCGAGGTGGAGCCTGAACAGTTGCTTTTCCATTGCAGCTCAAGTTGCGTAGTTCAGCAGCCTTCGTTGAAAAACTTCGAAGAGTGTGGACACGGCCAGAAACCAAAGGACCAGGACATTTTGAAGGAACCATGAAGAACAGGTCTGATTGGGAAACATGTTTGTTCTTGAATACTGATCAGAAACACATAGAAACACTGTCCAAATGTGGGGTCCAGAAGTTTCTGGTCGTTTTTCAGCTACACTACAGACGTTTGCGGCCTTTCAACTCACGATCCTTGTTCAGGGGGTCAAAAGCCTACACCTCCCCTCCGACCCCCTTCCTACCGACCTCTGCTTGACGGGTCTGCTGCGCAGACTACGAAAAGCGTCGCAGACCGGGTCAGCGAGAGCAACTGCTGGGGCGGTTGGTAACTGCTACGACCTGCGACTTATCGCGTCTGAAAAAGAGGTCGAACTGGCTTGCTGTGAAGTCACTAACATGTGGAAGGTTCAGCTTGGGATTTGGCCAGCTGGGTGATTTCACTGCGTCTTCTCAGAAATCTGCATAGTGGAAGAGCTATGCCAACTGGTGCCATGTGTTCCGGCAGGCTTCAGTCGTTCTCACATGTTCTGCCGTTGGTCTTTTGCATCTTTCGACTCGGTCGGTGTCCTTCCAATCCACAGTGGTTTGGGGAGAGTTCCTCGACTCGGGACCGGTAAAAGTTCTTCTCACCGAAAACGGCAGCTTTCACTGGTGTGGCTGTCAGGTCGTTTTGGGTGTGGTCTTTCGGTAAAGCATCAACGAAGATCGTTGGACCTCTCTGCATATTTCGTTGTTTCATTATGTCCCAAACTTGGAGCATTTCGGTCGTTCCAGTCTTGTTTGCGGCTACGCCGCGATGAGTTCCTTGAGGGGGAGAGCTCCTCGAGGCCTTGCCTCCACCTAGGCCGCATTCGGCTTGGCGAGGTGAGCTGGAAAGGTCAAATCAGAACACCAGAGGAAGAATCACTGCGTCAGAGGGCAAAAGCCCTGTGTGGTCAAGTATATAGTTTGACATACCTGTGAGTTTGGCTCAGAAGCAACGTGCGCCGGTTTTATGTTTCGTTGAGATTATTGAAAATCATTGAACATTGAAATCAACCTGTCTACACAAAACGGACAAGAAGAAGCACTGCTTGGACAAGTTTGATACCTTTTTAGAACTCTTCTCATATTAAGATCACCGGGATCTTCTGCGGTTTGTGGCCATGGAGACAAAGGCTTGTCGCCACTTCTTAGAAGGGCGCTGCCGACATGGAGATGATTGCCACTGGGATGGCGGGAGATTTGAGACGCCCTGTGGGCCGTATCTGCCCTGTGGGCCGTATCCGCCTGCCGCAGGCACTGGCCTGTCTTCATCCCTGAAAGACCCATCCTCATGGGGAGAGAGATGCCAAGCAATGGATTGCATCGATTGTGCCAGGTTGCAGGAACATGGCTTTTCACATGGCTTTTCAATCAGGTCAAAGAAAATAGCAGGTCTGAAAAAGCTCTGAGAACTGTCCAATCACAGGGTCGACTTCGAGGGTGATGGTTTCCATGGCCTCAAATGTGTTTTTTGTGGAAGGAACCGACCCTTAAGGTGCCAGGGACGTGATTTAACCCTCCTCGAGAATTGGGGAGCCTTGGATATGAGAGGCTCTTCAGCTGAGAGGTGGTCGGGTGCATGGCAGGTACAGGTTTTTTTGTCCATGAACCCCAGAGCTACCATCGACTCTTTGAGTGACTGTGGGTCGAAGCATCTGACTGACCCACTTCAACCGACCTCTCCACTCCAAGGCCGCTACTCCCACGCTGAAAAGCCGCCGCCCGCGCCGCCCGCGCCGCCCGCGCCGACTGCGCCCGCCTTCCCCAAGCCCGACTGGGGTGATCCGGAATCAGCCGCCGCCGCCTTCGCACTGCAGGCGGGCCAGGACGGGACAGGTGTGTGATAATAGTGATAATATAAAAACATATTATACACATATAGTACGCACATCTATTATAGAAGAAATGTTTGAACATATGTTTTGATATCTTCTAAATAGTTTCCCGTACTATATATATAGTTATATTATGTATTATGAGGCTTGGGAGGGACGGACAACGGGAAAAGGACGCCCTCCGAACCCTAAAAACGCTGCTGAGCACGGGGTTTGCCCTCTTCCCCAGCTTTGTGCCAAGAGAACTCTGGGAGTTCCTGGGGTGAAACTATCGGAGAGACCTTCCTCTTGGTGTGTCTTTCGTTTTCTGGAGCTATGAAGAAGCTTTGAGAAGTTTAACCAGAGTTGACATTCAATATATAGCTAGTCTTGAGAATTTGAAAGGTTTGATGCGAAAGCAATGAACTCCTAGCAGATAGCCTCTATGAGCTTCTCAACCTTGGTTGTGACGTGAGTTGTGACGGCCCAGGAGATGAACGACAGCAAGAAGAGGATAGAAAAGGACGAGTGGAATGATTATTGGGCCACTCGGTCTTCTGTGAGGGAGACCAAAGGTTCTGATATAGCAACTAGGTGCCAGCTGTGGCGCAGCGGCGCAGCCAAGGCAGACCAAGGCCGTTTTGTACCACCCAATTCTCCGATTCACTCGTTTTCTCGAACTCAATTTTTAAGAGTGGGTCTCGACTGGTGTTTTTAGCCTCCAAGCCTTTGGCCCGAGGCCTTGGGAGACAACTTTCTGCTTTCACCAGATGGCTGCTGGCTTGGATTTGGAGTGTCTTTTTTACAAGTTTTGTACATGCCGGAGTTCTCCCAGACCACCTGACCACCCTTCCTTGCGGTTTGGGGGAGTGTTTGATCGTCCCGGATGGTCCGCCAGTGCGCTGGGCCAGTACGGCGGGTCTCCGGAACATTTCAGGGACCCAAATGGTGCGTGTAAAGAACACCCTTTTTCACCAAAGACCAATGCTGTGAGAGACTGCTCCGCAATAGTTTTGACTTAAGAGAGAGATTCTTAAGATCAAAGGTCCGCACAACGGAAAACCGCAAAGACAAACATTTCTAAAAAGCAGAACTCAACTTGACGTTGACATCTCAGAAACGACCCGACATTCAACAAAACAATGTTTGCTAAGTGGGTTGTAAGAAAGATGCATAAACGACCCAACCATAACAGATACCAGAATCGATAACTGCCCAAATCATGGGCCAAACCATCCGAACCTTCTATCTCCTATCCCGGACCAGGATAAAGATCAGCGCTTGGGAAGACGGTTTGAGTGACAGGTCGACCCCTCAAAGGCCCTGGTTTGAGGCCCTGGTGGCCTGGTACAACCGAGTTCGGAACTGAGGCAATTTTGTTGTTACCTGGGGACATGTTGAAGAAGGCCGGTTTGTGAGTGGAGAAACTGTTGCAAGAGTCATAGGATGATGTTGACCAGGACGTGGGATGCACATCCAGCTCTGATGTATGTCACCGCGTTAAGTGTCTCCAGCTGGCTAGGAATGTCGACTTGTATTTCTTGTGTCTAGGAATTCATGATACAGCCTTCCAGAGCTCCTGGCTCAAATGCCAAAGACCATGAATTGGTCAAAGTTTTTTCTAAACTACCTGAAACATCCTTAAGAAAAAGGTTCAAATGGTGCGTCGTTCGACTTCTGGTGAGGTTTTTTGATTCAGATATTCAAGTTCGGCCCTTTTTGCCACTCTTGTGTCAGCAAGTTCCGCAAAAATCTTTGTGAGCTGTTCCTGGAAGCCCTATGCGGAATTTAGACCTGTTTCAGACTCTTTCTGTATGTGAATGCACTGATTTCTTGTTATCACATTACACGTCAGATGGCTAGAGCCACAAGCATGCGCAACACCAGAATGGAACAAATTGAGGAACATGCTTTTTCTTCCCTTCAAACACCCCTCCTCGTCCTCGTCCTCTGTGGACAGGCCGCTTGTCCGACTCGCCTGTCCACAAAATCATCCAGGTAGGTCCTGAGCATGGGAAGGGGAAAGCCATGATGTAGCAAACATCTCTTAGAACTTTCTATTTTTTTAATCGATTTTACGTACGCTCAATCGGTCTTTTCAGTATACATATACATATATACATACATATATATATATATATACATACTAGTATGTATTGTAATGGTATTGCCATGATTTTCAGGGCTTTGCTCTCAAATACGTGTTTGTTGGGATATCTGGGACATCCCATCGAGGCCCGCTTATTGAGCAAGCATGGTTGAACCACGTCGAACAAGGGAGTCCTCACGGACGCGAGGACAGACCGTCCGAGACCGGTCGAAAACATGAACATGTCGCAGATACCATGAGCGGGCATAGTACACGGAGTGTTTTCATGGACATACACGGTTGTGAGGGATTTGTTTGCCGCTTTGGCTGCAGGGCTTTGTGAGAAAAAGGCCTCTGACTACGCGATCCCAAAGACGGTTTCTGATGTGTCAGTCCTGTTGAACCATGTTGAATAAGAAGCACAAGATTGCACTTTGGGTCACTCAGAGTATCATCAGGCGGCGTTTCTGGGGTGTTGGTTGCCAAGAGGAGTCTACAAGGTTCAACGGCTCAAATAAGGAGCAAAGCACAGATGGAGACTACATCATGTTGATGAAGAACAAGCATGTATTCTACCTAGTCCTCTCCACACCTTCTCTTGGCCCCCCTTCCATACCCCTTTTCTGCACCAGGCCCGCTTTGTGCACCAGCTGGCACCTCCCGTGGCTTGGGCAAGAGGGATTAAGCCGGCCAAGAAGAGAATGGACAAGCAACCTGGAAAGAGCAGGTGAACAGGTGCACGGGGATCTTTTGGAAGGATGGAATTTTTTCTCCCTGCCAACTCCTGCTGGTGTGTCTAGCTAGCTAGCAGCTATGGACTTTTTCGGCGACGCACAGGACGGACAGTGACGGATGGATGTGAGGTCGTGAAGATCATCAAGAGCCTCCACTTCATTCAGTCCAGTACCGACAGCTGCAGTTCAGCCAGCCTCGACAGATGCAGTTCACTCTCCTCGAAATCGCCGCGCCCTTCTCCGGTCGTGTCCTCTCGTTTTCTACGACACGGGTCGCGCTTCACCACAGTCTGGGCTCAGGCGACACCCGCTGCCGTGACAAGGGCCACCGCGGAGCTTCGGAGATCCGCTGGGATCCCGCGCAGCCAGCCACGCTCCGCTGGCCGCTCGCGACGCGAAGTCGCGCGGGCAGTCGAACCGGAACGGACCAGGGTGGGGAGTTTTGCGGGATTTTTGGTGCCCCAGTCTTGAAACGTAGCCAGGTAGCCATTCGCCTGGGTTTACAGATTGGACCAACATTGGAGCTTGCAAAAGGGCTTGGACCATTAGTTGTAAACAGATCAAGATCCGGAGCCCTTTTGGAAGGATCCAATGCCGGTCCCACGGGGCCGAAGCTCTTGGGCGTTTTCGCGGTTTCGCGGGCCGCGCAGAGCGCGGGCAGTGTGTTGGCTTCTTTCCTCACCAAAAGAGAAAGAATCACCTCTGGGATGGTGGGAAAACAGATCTGGCTACTCCCCATTCCCAGAGGTTCAGCTCTCAATTCAGAGCAAGCAAGGACTGATGTGGGTTTGTATGTTTCAGCCTGTGTCCATGCAATTGATGTAAGTCGCTGGGATGCTCGACTTAAAGCCGAAGCATACTCCGAAGCATACCCTCTGAAAACGCTAGGTACTTCTTTAGTCTTCACACTGCACGATCTCTTCACCTCAGGCCGAAGGGGTCTACCCCATCAAATCTCCGGGCCCAACGTCAAAGTAAGCCAAAACACGCACACACACACACACATACGCACACACACATACCGGGCCTGCGAAAAAAGATATCAACATCAACAACTTCACTGACGGATGCCAACCTCAGGACTGATTCCTCCTACCAGACCTGGGAAGATGAAAAGCACCAGATTCAACGCCGCCAAGTCTCCACCGACTGTGCACTGGATCCCCGGATCTGGAGGATCGGGGGGGGCCAACGTCGCATCCGCCGGATGGGAACTTTTCAATTGCCCCACGAGCTCTGTGACTCCTGGCATACAGATCATATGAATCTGTGTACTTATATAAGTGCATAGACCATGGAACTCTTGACACCTCTTTTGCACTTCGCTCCAATCCGGGACCAGGACGACCAAAACGGGACAATGAAGGGGTCGGGTGAAATCTTCCATTTTGTTCGTGTTTTTGACTGACACCTCGAGAAACACACTCGTAACACGTAGGTTTTCACCACATGCGTCTTTGTCCCAAGAATTTGGGCAATTCTTTGGATGGAAGAATGAACAATTGGAGATGGGAGGCGGGTGCTTTTGCCGAGGATTTCGTGGTTGGGACGCATCATTCATTAATCAATCCAGATCCTGAAAATCTCGATCCCTATGCGAACCTATTGAAAGATTCTTAAACATCAAAGAAGAAACATGTATAATATATATATATATAACTATATAATTATTTTCTCCATATTGCATTATATTTTTTGAAAACATCTATTTGTATAAACTATATTTTGGTATATATATATTATAAAATTATCTTTATTATTATTGTTATTATTACTATTGTTATTATTACTATTACTACTTATAATATTACGATTAGGCCTATTAACAGGCGCGCGCGCGTAATTCGGCCAAGCTAAAAATCCCAAATATTTGCCAAGATTTTGAGATTTTTATTACAGATATTTTTCCTTTTGGCGGCTTCATATTTGGTGCTCGGTTTTAGCGTTAACGGAAAGGATTCGAAATAATTTGATTATTTTGGAAGTTTAAAATTTTTGACTTTCACAGTTGGTTATTTTGGGAATTATTTTTTCTCGGCGCCCATATCGAATTAATGGGATTACTTTGGAATTTTCGTTTTGCTCTCCCCACTGCTGTACCACTAGGCAAAAGCATAACGCTTGTTCGTTTCCTTCTAGGTCGATGGAACCATGAGTATGTAGCTGGTGATTTTGAGGTATGGCACAACAGGTGAAGAGACTTATACGTAGGTGAATCCACAACAGATTGTCTACTTAGCTATTCGTATCTGATGTCCACTCCACAATTAACATTTCAATTTTTTAAGCCGATAAGACCCAATTCACCCGATTATTGTTTTTAAGCCGATAAGACCCAATTCACCCGATTATTGTTTTTAAAACCAGGTTGGCTATCCAATTTTGAGCTTGGGTGATGCCAGTAGCCGTTTCACCTCAGGTCAGATTCCAATATTGCTCATATTTTGAGTTTACTCACGTGATCTCACATGTTTGCCTAAGTGTTCCTGTAGTTGTAGCCTTCTTGGGATGTCATGCACTAACTTGCGCTGAGTTGTCTTTGTCCAAGAGACCAAGTTTTTCCGTCCACTGCCCACCACCTGGCGACCTGGCTGGGGCCGATCACTATGTGCAGAGAGCTCATCAGGAGGGGGAAGGCCGGGAGCGATTGTATTCTTGCCTGCTGGAAGAATTCTGGTAAGAACGGATGTGAAGCAGTCCATATGGCCTCGACACCTTGTTGCTTGGGCTAAAGCCCCGAAAAGTGCATGTTATTCGGGATTCGAGATCCGAGATCCGAGCCTCGTTAGTCGAGATCCGAGTTCTTAGATTCGAGATGCGAGATTCGAGATCCGAGATCCGAGGTTCGAGATCCGAGTTCCGAGATTCGAGGTGCGAGTTCCGAGATACGAGACCCATTCGAAATGCGAGATCCGAGATCTGAGATTCGAGATGCGAGATCCGCGAGGTTTGAGATGCGAGATCCGAGATTCGCGATCCGAGATCCGCGAGATTCGAGATTCGGGATTTGAGGTCCGAGATCTGAGATTCGAGATCCGAGATCCGAGGTTCGAGATCCGAATTCCGAGATGTGAGGTGCGAATTCCGAGATTCGAGGCCCGAATTGAGAATCGAGATCCGAGGTCCGAAACGCGAAAGCCGAGATTTGAGGGGCGAAATTTTCTGGCTTCGAGATCCGGGATTCGAGAGATTCGAAATCTAAGATCCGAGATTCGAAAGCCGAGCTTCAACACGCGAGTTCCGAGATCCGAAATTCGAAATGCGGAATTGGAGTGCCGAGGTCCGAGCCTCGGGAGTCGAGATTTGAACATTAAGATTTGAGATTCGAGGTTCGTATCAAGATTCGTTTGCGCGTAAGCCTCGTCGATTTGAATATTCTTACTAATTTCTTATGATTTTCTTATCCGTTCTTTAGGTAGGAATATTTAAGGCTAAATTTTTATGCGATATTTATATATAAAGATCTATTTCATTATTAATTTTGTCGATTTAAATTTGACTTATTAATTTAATGAATTAAATAATTGCTTAAAATTATTATTTTTAAATATATAATTATATAAATTATTATTATATTTATATTATTTATTTTAATTCTTTTTTGTTTTTATCCTTAAATAATGTTATTCTTTTTGAATTATCCCTTTTTTTTCTTTACCCTCGATTGTTTTTTATTTTGCCCTGAAGATTCCTTTTTTTTTACCCTTTGAATTTTTTTCTACCTTCTTAAAACCTTTTATTTTCACTCTGCACCTTGTTATTTTTTTCCACCCTTCACCTTTTCTTTTTCATCCTCGCCGGTGAAATAGGTATTTTATGGAACCTGCACAGAGAGTGATGTCATTTCCGGTTTGTTTCATATTGTTTGTTTCTGCACCTGCCAAATCCTTTATTTTCCCCCCCTAATAGCTTCTTGTTGCTAGCCTTTCGGAACCCTCCGGAAA